AGGAGACTGGTGCCTACTTGGCCATCGACTTGGGTGGAACAAACTTGAGAGTTGTCATTGTTCATCTGCTTGGTAACTCCAAGTTCGAGACCTCCCAAGTGAAGTACGCTCTACCAGACAACATCAGAACTGCAAAGAAGGAAGAGTTATGGGAGTTCATTGCGGTCTGTTTGAAGAAGTTTGTCAATGAACACTATCCAAACGGTGTTGATAAGCCTTTGCCATTGGGTTTCACCTTCTCCTACCCAGCTTCCCAGAGTGCCATCAACGAGGGTATCTTGCAGAGATGGACCAAGGGTTACGATATCGATGGTGTCGAGGGCCAGGACGTTGTCCCAATGTTGCAGGATGCGTTGAAGAAACATGATGTTCCAATCGAGGTTGTCGCTTTGATCAACGACACCACTGGTACTTTGGTGGCTTCTGCTTACACCGATCCAGAGACAAAGATGGGATTGATCTTTGGTACTGGTTGTAACGGTGCTTATTACGAGGCTGCTCATTCAGTTGACAAGTTGGAGGGATTGTATGCCGATGATGTCACAGAGGACAGCGTTATGGCAATTAACTGTGAATATGGTGCCTTTGATAACGAGCACGTGATTCTTCCAAGAACAAAGTACGATATCCAAATCGACGAAGAATCCCCAAGACCAGGTCAACAAACCTATGAGAAGATGATTGCTGGTTACTACTTGGGTGAGTTGATTCGTTTGATCTTGCTCGATATCTACGACACCAAGAAGATCATCTTTAAGACTCAAGACGTTTCCAAGTTGAGAGTTCCATTCGTCTTTGACACATCTGTTCCAGCGATCGCTGAACAAGATAACACTGAGTCACTTGAGCACATAGACGAACTGTTCAAGAAGGATGCTGGTATCGAAACAACCTTGGATGAACGTAAGTTGATTCGTCGTCTGGCTGAGTTGATCGGTACAAGAGCCGCAAGATTGTCTGTCTGTGGTATCGCTGCCATCTGCAAGAAGAGAAACTATCAAACCGCACACTGTGCTGCTGATGGTTCTGTTTACAACAAGTATCCGGGATTCAAGGAGCGTGCTGCTGAGGGATTGAGAGATATTTTTGACTGGAAGGTTGCTCCAAAGGATTACCCAATCATTATTGTTCCTGCTGAGGATGGTTCAGGTGCTGGTGCCGCAATTATCGCTGCTTTGACAGAGAAGAGATTGAAGAACAACTTATCAGTTGGTATCAGAAAGTGAAGAAGCAGTTTAGAATATATAATGCTAACGAACTAATGAAAGTAATAAGAATTACATACTATTTGGAATGGTAGATGATAAACAAATTTATTAAGACGTGTAGTGGTAGGCCAACAAAAGAAATAAAAGGCCCTCTCCCCCTTGGGTATTGTTATAAGCATCCATTTCAACAATGGTCATAAACTTCCACGCCTATCTTGACCTTTTCAGAACTGCCTCTTGATAATTTACGAATCTTCTTTTGTAGAGTGAGAATTCTTCCTCGAACAGAGGCACTTGTCTTGATATCATCATTTGACAGTTGGACAATAACGTCGAACTTGCGCTTATCATCCTCATTCTTAACTTCCATATCACCATTGACGATCTTGAAGTTGAATACACCATCTCTGATGTTACCCCCAGGGTGAACACCGCAAATGACATACATCAAGGTGCCACAGTATTTAGTCCACCAAACGATACGTTCCATCTCAACTCTGCTTCCATCACGTTTAACCAAGTCACAGAGAGCAGTTTTATGTCTCTCCTCGCTATCCGGGAGATCACCACCCCAACGATCGCACAGGGCAATCCCGATAAGTGCCCTTGTTCTGTGTGATAATCCATGTGATCCAGCAATGATACCAGTCGTAGCAACATGGAGTGCAGCTGTTGGTTGTAGTTCCTTTGGATAAGAACAATGGACAAACGCAAGGTTACATAGCGCTGGTGCGATTCTTTCACGTACTTCTCTTGGAACATATTTCTCAGGAAGTGCAGTTCTCAAGAGTTCCAGATACTTATCTGCAAGCAGAGGGGCATAAGGTCTTGAAGCAATGATCAAAGGATCCTGGGCTCTGATCTCACGTGGTAACATAGAATATAGAACACCTTCCCTAACACCACCTTCAGAGAAATGAACAGTTTTAATCTTTGGTAAAGAGTCACATGCCGCTGAAACGAGAAGTCCAACAGCTGGAAGCTGTGATCTTCTGCGGTCACTGACCCTGAAGATGTCCTTCTGGGGTAGACCGTCTTTCAGAAAGAGGAAGTTGGAAACGTTGATGAAATCGTTGAAAGAACAGGAGAATCCATTGATAATCGTTGGGATTGGGTAATCTTTGATATCAGAGAGTAAGGCATACCCGAGACCTCTTAGTCCACCACCACATGAGTAGAGTTCGAATCCACCATTTCTTTCAGCTTCTTCGAGCAGTTGTTGTGGCACATCAATCTTCTTAAACGCCTCTCTGTATGCGTTTTGAATTTCAAAATACAGGTCCTTTTTGTCTTCAAATTGTAGTCTTCTAGTCAAAGCAGCAGCTCCATATGGTAAGGAGACTGGGTTTGAGCTTATCTTGATTTCGCCATTGATACATTGTATCCAGGAAATTTGTGTTGAGCCTCCTCCTAGGTCCATGAACAAACCCGAGATTGTATCAAATGATGAAGCCACACCGTATGAGCCTATTCTCCCCTCGTCTTCTTTGTTCAAGAGTTCCACTTCCCACCCAGTGGTGTCATATATAGCGTCTCTAAACTCCTGGGAGTTCACAGCTTCTCTTGTTGCCTCCGTGGCGACGATTCTAACACCGCTCTCCTGTACACCGAAATCTTCACAGATTAATCTGAATCTTTTCATTGCTGCACAAACCTCGTTGATGACCTGTGTCGGTATAGGACGCTTATCCTTTGAGTTCTCAGCATACTGGGCATCGAATAACGATATTCCCACACGATCTTTGAAAACACATGGCATAGTTCTCGCGTGGTGGGGAGCCTTGGACGAGATACTGAACCTGATTCCGTTGGAACCAATGTCCACAATTCCAATCAATGCTCTACCAACAACATCAGCTTCATCCTCTGTATCTACGTGTAAAGAAGACATGGCTCTACCTCGTTGTCGTGAGTTTTGCCCTTTGTTCTTATTCGTGTGGTTGTGGGACGTTGGTGGAGGATGTGAATTTGTGGATCGCTCTGTCACCGAAAGCAGCCCCTCCAATACACGCGGAGATTACATAAGGAGAGTGTTTTCAGCTGGTGAGGTGGGTGGTGAAAAATGTCCCCCTTCTCCAACAATTGAACCCCATTCACAGCTACAACAACAACAACAACAACAACAACAACAACAACAACAACAACAACAAAGGTGCGTTGTCTTAGCTTAAGTGGCACATCGTACACCAGAGAGGAAAATGTCTGCCATATACGAGGAATCAAAGAACGAAAGAGAGCCTGAGAATATCGAAGAAGAAGAAGAAGCTGTTGACGAGGAACAATCTGAGGCAATTCAAGATGTAATTGAAGATGTAATTGAAGAAATCATTCAGGAGGATGCTGCTTATGATCAATTTGTTGAGGATATTGCTGAAGAGATTACGAGAGAAGTGGCGGATGAATTGGCCCGTGAGATCGTACAAATACAGGATGAATTGGATGAAGTAGAAGAAATAATCTCCAGAGAGATTGAGCAAAGCGAACCTGTTGAATCCAGGGCACTAACGTCTAATACACAGGGCCGTACGTTCGGTTCTATACTGGCGTCTCTTTCTATCAACCTTATACTACCGTTCATCAACGGTCTCATGCTGGGATTCGGCGAGATCATTGCACATGAACTTGGGTTCCACTACAACTGGTTTGGTGCAAATGTAAGTCCTTTATAAAGTGACTCAAGAGCTCACAAGTTACTAATAGAGAATAGATTTATCGTCCAAGAAGAAACGACAACAATGGCAAGCCAAAGTTGTTATGATCACCATACAGAGCACAACCGATACGTGTACATATTATACGCTAATTGAAAAAAGAAAGGTCATCGACGTCGTTATGAGGAAGTATGTATGATATTATCCTTTCCTGTCGACAAAGGGTATATAGTCCTTGTTCTTGCCCACGGGGAATCGTTTCGTAGTTCCACAAACACATTCGATTTGTAGAGTTTCTGATTTCTTACCTTCCTCCTCTAAAGTCATCATGGAAGTTTTCCCAGGTTGCTGTAGTCTATTACAACTCTTACAAATGCTTCTTTTAACATGAGGGCTTACTTTAAGAACAGTTCTCTTCGTGACGAGATCCATTAGCCTAATGTACATTCGTGAAACTTCGGGGTCCTTGGTAACGTGTGCCGCTTGATACAGGAAAGAAGCTCTTGAAAAGCCATCTCTATTGGGTACAGATGGTTTCTTCTGCTTCTGTGGTTTTTTACCTTCTTTCGCCATATCTATGGGGGACACCTTTCAATTACAGCTTCATCTAGAGAGTGCCTTGAAGGGGTTTGTTAAAATGCGTTCGCGAAAATTTGATGTAAAGTTCCAAACTTTCCAACTCTTAACGATCCTCAAGATCTTTGTTTACGAAACAACTACCAGTAATTCTTCAATTCATAGAGGCAAGGTTCTTTAAATCAACCAAGCTAGCAGTACAATGAGTGGTTACGATAGTGCTCTGTCTATTTTCAGGTATGTGTCTTTTGGGCGATCTGACAACTCAATTCATAGGAATGTGTCCCCTTGAATTGTCGCCACCTTGGGTTTGAGATTTACTAACACTGAATCACACAGTCCTGATGGACACGTTTTCCGTATGTTCCCAATGAAAGAGACTATTCCCTACTATTTACTAACATAAGTTTTATCAAGAGGTTGAATACGCCCTGGAAGCTGTTAAGAGAGGTACGTCCGCAGTTGGTGTCAAGGGTAAAGATGTTGTGGTTCTTGCGTGTGAGAGACGTAGTACACTAAAGCTGCAAGATCCTCGTATCACACCGAGTAAGATAAACAAGATTGATTCTCATGTGTATTTGGCATTTGCTGGACTGAACGCTGATGCAAGAGTCCTTGTCGACAATGCTAGAGTCGAGGCACAATCGCATAGATTGACATTGGAAGACCCTGTCACCATCGAATACCTCACAAGACATGTGGCTCAATTGCAACAGAGATATACTCAATCCGGTGGTGTTAGACCTTTCGGTATTGCAACTTTGATTGCTGGATTCGATGGGAATGATACAGTACCAAGACTTTACCAGACAGAGCCTTCTGGTATCTATTCCGCATGGAAGGCAGGTGCCATTGGAAGAAGTAGTAAAACAGTTCTTGAATTTTTGGAAAAGAACCACAAAGAGGAAATGACAAAGGATGATACGATTCTTCTTGCAGTCAAGAGTTTGCTAGAAGTTGTTCAATCGGGCGCAAAGAACATTGAAATCACTGTTCTTGAGCCTGGAAAGACATATGAATTGAGCAACGACGAAATTCTTCAATTTGTGAATAAGGTGGAAGCTGAAAAGGCCGAACAAGCAGAGAAGAAGAAACCACACTCGTCATCTTGAAGGTTTTCATTTTAATGTTCTTTCAAAAAAGGAAGAGGAAGAATTGACGGTGTTTTTCGTTTCTAAAAATCCACATGACCTAGACTGGCGTAATTACTTGTAGTGCATACAATCATTAACTCGAAGGCGATGTTTCTCAAATGACACGTTCGTTTAGACTAGTCTTGTCTGGGTGACCCGAGTGAACAGCTTTTTAATCTATGTCCATACATAGAAAAACCAAATGATTATGAATCTGATGCTGTAGCTGATATTGAGCGACGAGTGGTTGTCTAGTTTGGAATGGGAAACCGTAGAACAACTTCAACTAGTGGCCTTTTAACATTCATTTTGATATACTAAGAAGGAGGCTATTTATGATCTTCTAAGGGAAAGTCTTGGAAGAGTTACAGAGTCTAGATTTGTAACCTTTACGACATTATTTCTATCTCTTTGGTAAACCCACCATCTCCTGAATTATCTTACAATGCTTCTAATGATGATTACTAGCCTTGAACAATGTAAGACAAAGCCATAAGCTTCTGAATGACAGAGATATACTGTGACCGTCTTGTGGTTCACGTAGCTCAGTCCTTGTTTTATCACTTATACTCCATCTACATCACAAGCTCAAGGCATATATAATCGAGTGTCTGTACTCTATGTAATCTGGTACATATGCTACATATGGACCTATGCCTTACTTACGATCCTTTCTTAAACACTACAGTAATAGACTTGAGAATTATCATTAACTTTAAACAAACCAGAACCTGGTGGTCATATCCTCCGGTTTTGCAGATGTATCTTCTAGCAGCTACTGTACCTATCTCATGTGGCTAGATTAGTTTCACACAGAACCCACGGACCTTAGCACCAGCTTTCTTTACGAAGAAAGAGGGTGAACTGCTCTCTCCAAATCAATGTTTGTTTAATTCTGCAGGTTAAATCACTGATTGCCATCCTCCATTAACGGCTACATTAAATTTAGTTCTCGCGTTTACGATATAGTTGCATCTCATGCCAGAGTCATACACAATGTATGGTATCACACAGTGGTATATATCCATGACTCCTAGCTTTGGTCAACAACTACGTTAAGACTCTATTCTTAGAATTGTACTGCTGTTATATTTAACGTGACAATGTTACGTTGGATCTATTGCTTCTAACTTGTATGGTGAACAAACTGGATACAG